TCATACAACCTTGTGTTTGTGAGATGTATCCATATTGTTAAAGTTAGTGTTTTTTTTTTAATATTATGTTGCTCTATACTATTTCATTGCTAATAACCTTTTTCAAACTCTAAGTGTAAAAAAGTGTTTTAGTTTGCTCTCCGTCTTTGACTTACTGTGAGATTGAATGTGTTTTCCAACCTTGAGCTGTTATTTATGTTTGCTGTATGTTGGCATTGGTTATTTATTGTTACTCTCTGTGACCCTGGTTACTTTTATTGGGTTGGCCAAAAAGTCCTTTAAGTTTTTTTTCCATAAAATAAAAGACACATTTTTCATTTTCACCAATAACTTTATTGATTTGGATATTTCGAATATGTCACCTATCTCCCACTATTGGCTTCTAGTGGGCAGAGGCCAGGGGTGCTGCTAAACATCTTCATGAGTAAGACAGCCCCACAGCAGAGAATTATTTGGCCAAAATGTCAACAGTACCAAGAAACTTTGCAAACCATTTTTGACATGTTTAATCAGTCACAGCCTCTTCTCCAAACACTGCACAAATCTTTTTCTGCATTTCAGTTGTTTTTACCTTTCTAGAAATAATAAAATATGATACACCAAAAATGTTGCGTTTTCTTCCATCTTTAATATTAAAATGGCTGCACAATTCACCAACTTAAATTTTTTTTAAATGCATGCTGGTATGACAGCTGTCACAATACAATCTAACAAAAGTTGTTTCAAATGAAGTTAAAGACAAAACGTAACAGACTTTTTGGCCAGCCCAATAGCATGACTAGTCCTTTCCTGTTAGCCACCAGTAGGACACACTAGCCTTTAGTTACAAAGTAAGAGTAACTTTTGTTTTTTCATTGTCTCCCAAAAGGGCAATTAACACTCTGCTCTTCTGACAAGGCAACAAGTGTGCCTTCTGTAGCTCTGTGGTTGCAGGGCCTTCATCCTCCATAGTGCGAAAAGGAACAGGATTTGTGGATTCCAGCCCTTATGGTGGGCTGAATGAACCCACCTTTCCCCTCTCTGTGCTGGTACTGCTGACTTTTGATAGCTCATACTTCTTTGGGCGTTCTTTCAAAACTGATTTCCTTGAAAAGTCAAACAGTCATGCTTAACTATTTGTTGCCCCAGGGTACACAGCTTCTCTAAAATTAAAGCTGACTCACACCCAGGATTGTTAAAGGACAAGATGGATGAGAACCTCTGCCTCAGGGGTTCCCACACCTCGTTACACAAAAGAATCACAAGAGGGAGCTTTCAAGAAATACCAATTCCTGGCCTCATTCCCAGAAAGAAATTGTGATTTCATTGGTTTGGGGAGCAGTTTGGGTGTTAAGTTCTGAAAGGTCCCAAGGTGATTATAATGGGTAGCCGGGACTAAGGACCACTAAAACTTCTGTCTGCATAAAGGATAGATTAAATTCTACTGAACTGATAGATTTTAGCTTGTAAACAGAGTTCCGCTGCCTATTTGATGTCATGGCAGACTCCCAGGGATGAGCCAGCATCCTAACATTTGTCTTTCCCAACTGCTGGACAATACACAAATTTCACTGCTAGAATCTAATTTCTTATACTTCTTGTTTTGATTCACAGCAAATTAGATAGATCGTTCTAAATGGACCGGTCCTCTGGCTGGTCACTTATTAACACCTGAATATGACTGAGCTTGTTGGATTATATTGCAGAGGGGTTTTGGTAATGGAAGAAGAACTATTGCGACCTTCCCATAAGGAGTATAATCAGGAGAAATGAAGGTGCAAAAGCAAATAGATTACGTTTAAAGTTGCTTTAGGTCCCAAAGACACCCAGGGCTTTTGGACTGTGGTTCTGTCTTGTTGAGCCTTAGTAAACATCCTCTTAATTCTCAAAAGGGAGAATGTAGAAGAGTGGTTTAAAAGGCACGGTCCCTTTGCCTTGTCAAAGGAACACAGGAGCCAACAGAAAGAGTTCCCAGTGACCAGTTCTCAAACAACAAACAAACAAACAATGTAAAGTAATACTGGATTGTAACCCAAAGTGAAAAATAAATACCTATATGTTACTAATACCAGTAAATGTTTGAAAATAAAATATGGGAGAACAGACAGATCTGCCATATAGGAGAATTTTAAGTAATATATGGAGATATTTTCTACTCCTTAAATGTGAGCTGCACGCAGTGGCTTTTTCCCCAAAAGAGTACCATATGTGAAGTGGGAAGTGGGGCTCTATAGTACAGAAACCTGGCAAATACTACCTCGGCCAGGTGATAAAGGCTAATATCAGTCATAAACTATTTTGACACTATGTATCTATTTGGGTTTCTGAACTCATTTCCAGTGGGGGTGGGGTGAGCTTTCCCCATCCAAATCAACAATTCCATAGACACCACCTGGTGTCTTACCATTTATCTTAATTCTGATGCTGTCTGCCCAGCGTTAGAATCAGATTTCATAGGTTAAACACACAGTCCTACAAGCCTGCATTTCCCACCTTCAGATGCCAGTTGCAAGCCCAAGTTGTCATCAGTGCTTGAACTGACAAGATACAGATCAGAGATTCCCATGACCCCCTCTGAACTTCAGATGCCAGTCACAAATCCAGGTTGTTGCCCATACTTTTGAGGGACAGTCTGTAAATCAGATGTCCCCACAATCTTCACCTTGGGTTCAATTAATTTGCTAGAATGACTTATAGAACACAGAGAAATATTTTACTTACTAGATCACCAGTTTATTATAAAAGGATATATTATAACTCAGGAGCAGCCAGATGGAAGACATGCACAGGACAAGGGGCGGGGAAGGGTGCAGAGCCTCCGTGCCCTCTGCAAGCGCATTGCTCTCCCAGGACCTGCACAAGTTCGCCAACGCGGAAGCTCTCCAAACCCTGTCCTTTTGGATTTTTAGGGAGGCTTCATTACATAACAATGGTTGAATTAAATACTGAGTTTAGGCAATTAATTCAACCTCCAGCCTCTCTTCTAACCGGAAGGTTGGGACTGAAAATGCCAACCTTTAATCACAGGGTGGCTCCACTGACAACAACCAGCCCTCAGGCTTAGGGAGATCCAACTATCACCTCATTAACGCAACAGAAGACTCCTTTAGGACTCCCTTCACTTAGGAAATTCCAAGGGTTTTAGTACTCTGGGCCAGGAACCATGGAAGACCAAATATGAGAAATACCCTTTGGTCATCTGAATGGCCAAATATTTTTATAAAACATAATGTCGCTGTACAGAGAAAATAATCACCTCTGTCATCTTCCTCACAAAACTTCAGAACTCCAACCTAACCATGAGAAAAAAAATCAGATAAACCCATACCGAAGGACACTGTACAAAATACATGACACATACTAGTAATCAAAATGGTCAATGTCAACAAAGAAGAAGCAAGTCTGAGGAACTATCACAGTGCAGAGGAGCCTAAAGGGATAAGAGTACTAAGCATAAGGCACAATCCTGAATGAGTTCCTGAAACAGAAAAAGGATATGAAGTGAAAAACCAAGAAAGTCTGAATAATATATGGACTTTCGTTCATAATAACATATCGTGACTCGTTCATTAGTTGTGACAACTATACCATAATAATGAAGATGTTTAACAACAGGGAAACAGAGCAGAATATATGGGAATGCTCTGTTCTATCTTTGCAAATTTTCAGAAAATCTAAAACAATTCTAAAATAAAACTTTTATTAATAAAGGAAAGAAAAAAGAAAGAGTGATCCCCAGAGCAGCTGTGAGAGCAGCATCTGGGATCTTGTTAAAAATTCCAGTTCTCGGGTTTCAGCCAAGACCTCCTGAATCAGCAGCTCTGGGGATCTAGCGTTCTGGGGATGCGGACCTGATTCTGTGATTGAGAACTGCTGATCAAGCAGGTCGGCCGAGAGCTCTCCTTTCAGGTGCTTCTCATTTTATATGAGGTCATGGTATGTTTTCTTTAATGCCCAGGAGTGAATCAGATATGGCCTCCTGGTAGCTTTCGATTACCCAGTTATACTCTTTCACAAAGCAATGATATGTCCGCCTCTCTTCTTCGATTATTCAAACCTGATCTCCAGGCCCTTTGCCGGCCCTTTTCAGACCCTGCTGTGCTCCTATCTTCCAGAACACACAGATCCCTTCCACCTCTGATGTCTCCAAGCAGATAACATGTACCAACTCCAATGTTTTCAGAGGCCACAGATCACAACAGAATGTGAGTTCTCTGGAGACAGAGGTGACCTTACGCAGAATATGTGATCTCACTCACTTGAGTTTCTTCATGTGTGGTTTGGGGTTATAGAAGATCATTTCATGGATTTTTGTGCAGATTGTGAGTTCATGCGCATAAGGTGTGAAGAATAATAACCAGTCCTTAGTGAGGACCTAATAAATGTGAGCTGGTGCTATTATTAGTAATGGATGCCTTGCCTCTTAAATGTTTCTTCACTTCTCCCAAAGCAGCAGGGTTTTGTGTGTAAAATAACGGCTCAGTAAAGACTGGGTGAATTGAGCCCACACAGATCACATTTCAAACACGGCGATGCCACCCCTACCATCACACATCTTCTAAGGCATCTTGATTTTGACTTGATATGTTAGAAATATTTCCTGTTGTTTATATAATGCTTTTAGGATAAAGTTTTGGATTTGGTTGATGAAAATATACAACCTGGGCGTGAATTAATCTTACTTCAAGCTTCACCCCCTACCAAAATATATATCTGTATATACATATACAGATATATGTGTTCTTATCTATGAAAACACCATCCTAATGTTGATCTACAATTATTCTAGTTCCCAAGATCCTTAGCAGAGTTTGTTAGCCTAAAAAAAGAAAAAAAGGAGATGAGTCAGAAAAGAAATCAGCACCCCAAGGACTGACCGTACTAGCTGCCAGCTGGTAAGTGAATGTTTGGATAATGGATTCAGATTTTGCCTGTTTGCTCTTTGGGACAGGTTAAGTGGAGATATAACAATTTAGATGCCAGAAATGTATAAGTCCTGGGTATTTTGGTTTGTTTTTCAGATGGGGATTAATGTGGTGGACTCTGCAGTATCCGGATTAGGTGGCTGCCCTTATGCAAAAGGTGCCTCTGGAAATGTAGCCACTGAGGATTTGATATATATGCTTAATGGGCTGGGGCTCAATACAGTAAGTTAATTTTACATATTTTAATATTCATGCATTCTTTGCAGATCCAAATTGGAATGCATCTCAGATTTGGGAAGCAACTTTCAGGTCAAAGTTTTACTACTTTTGCTATTTGCTAAAATACGCAGTGGGAAAATGCAGGAAAAATTCTTTGGGGAGCTTTATAAAGTAACACTGCTATAGCTCAATCATCAATAATGCTACTGTTTCACGTTTTTATGTCTCTTCATGACCTCCAAGTAGTTTTTTAGATGTTTCATCTGCTTTGATTTTACACACTTTGTGAATTAGAGCCTGTGTCTTTCCTGTTGTAATTATTGTTTTCACAGTTTTGGGTTTTTATAGATGTTTTCCTTGGAGGAAACAGATCTTGATTTTTCTCACAAAGTCAACTAGGGCTGCTGGACAAGAGCCCAGGGTCCACTTAAAAATGGTCAGTGGAAGAACAGAGCTAAATAATTCTTAGCTATCAGACACTGGGCGGCAAGAATAGGCTCTTTACAAGTGGTACCTGAAAAGTCTCATGCTCTGTAATAACAGCCACCAAAATCAGCACCTTGTTTTGCCACATTCCTGTTAACATGGGTTATTAGTCTATAAGGCAGATTTTGTTGGGTTTTTATTTTTTTTAGGAAAAAATATAAAAAGGCAAGAGAAACAGTTCACAGATGATTAGTTCATAATGTTTTCTGAGACATAAAGCATCATCTGGATTACAAATGAATTTCATCCTCTCTTTCTCTCTCTCTCTCACTGGTCCCTCGCTTGTATCTCTCTCACGTCTCTCTTTCTCCCCCATCTCCTGTCTCTCTCGTTTCTGCCTCTCTCTCTCTCTCCCGCTCACTCCCTCTCTCCCTAGTCTTTTGTCTCTCCTCACTCTACTTACACTGATGCTCCTCAAACACCAAACTTGTCTGCAGTCCCCATTGCTGTGCCTTTCTCTCTCACCTCTGCCCCTCAACTCGTGGTTTTACAACCTCTTGGAATTGTCTAATCCCCATATTTAATTTCATTTGAGAGTGAGGCACTGCCATCCTCAAAAACTTTTTCTAGCATCTCCCTGCCTATTCCCCAGGTCCACACTGTTGGGCTCCTCTCCTTAGTGCTTCCATGCTACCCTCTGTGCTGCTACCTCTGAATCTATGGTGAGGTTGTAGAATGATCTCATTTCTTCCTGTACCCCCCCCTTGCAGCCAGAGAGCAATTAGTACAGCTTATTCTTACTCTCTGCTTGTTACATAGAGATGCTTAACAACATTCATTGATCTCATGTGGCACTAATCACCAAAAGCTATTGCTTAGTAACACCAAAAGCTATTGACTATCTTCTCTGATTATGAATAAGTATTATTTCACTTACAAAGTAGCTTTATTATTTTTATGAAAAATGTATAGCCATGACAGAGACTGAAGAGAAATATATCTTTTCTTGGAGATTTAGTGATTGTACTGAACACAGCAGATGCTTAGTATGTTTTAGGTCACGTTCTATAACCTGGGTGTCCAAATGCAAATAAGCCCATGTCTTCATGCCTAAGAATTTTACAGTTCAAAGAGAATTGGTACATTTAGTAGCAGCTAAAATTCAACCAGTTGCTCATGCTAACTAGCCAATATTCTCTGTAGAATCTGGTGTCACAGTGGCTCCCAAATTAATGACCAAGAGTCATTAATTTGACTTGTAAATTATTTCATTTGTCCCTTTCTTACTATCCTTGCCATAACTACATCAGCACAAGTCCTTTATCTTTTTCCTGGGTATTCATCTTCCAAGTTATGCTGGGTTCAGACTTGCCTTTCATTTTTTTTTAAATTAATTTTGGAGAGGGAAGAGGGGAGGGGGAAGGGGGCGGGAGAATGGCAGGGGGAGATGGAGATATTTGTTGTCCCACCCGTCCATGCATCCATCGGTGGCTTCTCGTATGTGCCGTGACTGCAGAGCGAACCCCCAACCTTGGCATATGGACCATCTGGCTGGGGCCAGACTTGCCTTTAAATTTATACGCTCCATGCTACCGTCAGAGGATTTCATCTAAAATACAAATACGAATATGCCTTGCTTCTGTCTGTATGCTTACCGGTGGATTATCATTTCCTAAAAAAAAAAAAAAAGAAAAGAAAAGAAAGCAAGGCTGTGTTCTGTCACCTAACAGCAATTTTCAACCTTCTTCCATCTCATGGCACACATAAAATAATTATTAAAATTCTGGAGAAACCAAAAAATATTATATTATTTGCCAATCTGACAAAAAAAATAGGTATAATTTTGATTCATTCACACCAGGTGGCTATTGTTATATTGACAATTGTCTTTTTACTTGACAATCTAAGGGAAAAGAGGCCAGTGTCCCTGATTAAATAGCCAAGTGTTGCGAAAAATTCTTATAGCACACAAATCACTGACCTACTGTGAACCAGTTACATGTCTCTGGTCTTCTCTGCCCATCGTTCTCCATATACACCACAGCATTTTCAGGGGTCCTGCACTGCTCCTTCACTGCGTGTGGTGCCCCATCCACCCTCCTTCCTCTCAGGAAATAATACTCTCCGTATAAGATATGCGTGGGGACGTACCTTTCCTGGCACCCTTCCTTGCCACACTCCTCTCCATTCTCTTTTACTCAGAGACTTGACTCGGAGCAAAGCTTGACTCCCACAGCTTTGCCCTCATAATCATACGAGCATATCTCTATCAGCGACTTTAAGTAGAATAGTACAGGATTTTCTGCTGTATGGGGGGTCCATATTGTCTGCTTCATCATAAGCACGCCGAAGACAGAAACTATATTCTACATGAACCCCAGAACATATTAGAGAACATGAGACATATTTAAGCACCTGAACAGTGATCCAAGAATAAATGCAATGTTCTTTTATAAAGATATGTTATTTAAATCAAATGGTACAGAAAGGCCAAAACAAAACTCTTCTTTGGTATGATAGCAACAGATTCCATTGCATAATTGTTATAATTTTGAATTCTTGGAAAAAAGAGAATATTGGTGACTAAACTATTTCTGTGTTCTCTTGCTGGATATAATTCAGAAATGAAAGAAATATGTAGTTAATTATTTACAAAATTTAAACTTCACTAGATTAAGGATTCACTAGATTTAGTTTAATTTCACAGTTAAACTAAACTGTGCCTACTCGATAGTCTACATAAAGCCATCACCATGACAAAATTAAATTTCTCAAACCAAAGCAAGTATTAGTACCCTAAGAACAATTTTATAATAAAAAATATTAAAAATAATTTACAAGTCATTTAAAATATATTTGCTGATCATTCTTAAATGAAGAGAAATAAACCATAAAGAAAACAGTATTGTAAGAGTTTCTAAAGAGGGAAATAATTGGGTGTATACTATTTTTTGGGGGGAAGCTTTTAATTGGGTATATTAGAATGATGATCATTTTATGATCATTGTTATAGAAAGCCCCTGATTATTTATACTTGTCTATTTAAAGAAAAATACAGACCCACATAAATATTAAAAACTACTCCTTAGTACTAGTAAGTCTGAATCTGTTCAATTTTAAATCCACATTGTTTCTAATCCATATTGAGAGAGGACAAAGGGGTTTATGAAATGTTATATGAGCACAAATCTCTGATTAATCCACCTAATGCTCTGCCTCCCCCAGTGATAACTGAGTGGAGACCTCAGTGGTAACCATTTGTTACCAAGTCCTAGAGATGAGGAACATGCCTTGAACTTGACCTTCATACTCAGCTGCCTTATCTGTCATACATGGATTTACCAAAGTCTTTGTTGATCCTACTTACACTTTCAAACAGTAAAATCTCTCAGGCAAACAAGTTCCAGATATTTAATAAATACTATTCATTTTATTTGATCTGCAGCTACCTCCTTTGATAGCAAACCAGTAATGGTTTTTCTAAATATGGTTTTTAAAAAGTATATACCTTTTGTATTTCTTGTAGCTTCATTGTTTCTATTTTTGTACAGTAAAGAGGTATTTTTGTCTAAGTCCTTATGTATAAACTCCTCCAAACCATTGTTAGTTTAATTGCCCTTCATTAATATTTATAGATTGTTTTTAGTTTCATTATTTTCCTTTGTATAATTCAGGAATCAATCTGAATTACACTGATTTATTTGGGTGTGGCTAGCCTGTGGTTTTATGCAAGGGTCAGATTCAAGGTAGGTTTTCATAAAGAAGAAAAATCTAAAATGTTGACTACACGGTTCATGGAAACAAAGATTGCCCCCAAAGCAATAATGAGCAAAATTGTTTTCAGTAATTTTAAATGGTTAAGTATCTACTAATAAAATTAAAAGGAATCTGTTTTGTCCTCTTTCTCCTAAATTCCTCTTCCCCTCTGATATCCATCCCTTCTTTGTTTTACCAGGGTGTGAATCTTTACAAAGTGATGGAAGCTGGTAACTTCATTTGCAAAGCTGTGAATAAAACCACGAACTCTAAAGTAGCACAAGCCTCCTTCAATGCTTGTCATGAATGAATTTGTGACTTAAGGCTGAGAAGATCCATTTCAGCTACAGACATTCATCTAAAACTCATAACTGTCAACTTGTTCTGAAATGTGAAGTAATAGAGTGGGAAAAAAGATACTTTTAAAAATTATAACTGGATACATTTTGAACTCAAGAGAAAGTAAGACTGGTCATCAGGTAAACTGCAAGCTGAAACTAAATAATAGAATTTGTAGACATGCCTTTGAACATGGAGAACAGTCTGCTCTTTTGCTCTTATAGAAATAACTTTTTAATTTAGTAGACGTGAAAATTGACTTCAGATTTCCCTAAGTATGAAATACTGTGTTAAATACCTAATCAAGCTAGCTTAGCACAGTATACATATTGTCAGTAGTTTACGAGCTCCTGCATAGTGTGCAAAGTGTGTGGCCTCGATATCATGCATTATGCCTCTGGATCTAACTTCCCATTTGCCAAGTCAGTTAAATTATGGACTAAATGCCAAATCTCCAGCCAACCCTACATAATTTTTAGCAATAGAACTTTTACATTTCAAGTATGACTAACATCTGTTAACTATTTCAATGACTTTATCTTGTTCCAAGAGGCTGTGGTCAATGGCAAGATGCCATGTTCTAGAAACATATTACGGCCTCCCATGTTTGTTACATGCTTCCAGTTTACCATACTTTTTCTTTCATCAGTTATAGTAAAAAACCAGCATGGTGTTACTCAACTGTTGAGAAACAGAAGGCACAACTTTTCATCTTGCTGTCTAAATTACAGTGATGAGAATAGGGAGTAGAAGATTGATATGTGTACCGTAATCCATGCTCGTAATTTTCAGATCACTTCCAAATTGCCTGAGGAAATGTTATTGTGATCCTAAAAATGCATATTAAACCAATTTTTAATTCATGGGATAAACTTTTCCATTGATTCAGGATACTTTGATTAAATCACACTTTTTTGTTGACTATTTTATTGTTATTTTACAATTAAAGTGGCTGAAATTTTATCTTTTGTACCAGCAAGAATTGCCAGATATAGCAAAAATTAATATATCAAGTTAGAAGAGGAACAGGAGGACTATGTTAAGAAAAACATTTCTGTAACCTACACAAATAATATGGAGACAGTATTATTATACACGGGTCTAAAACATCAGTTCTATTATTTATGTAGACTTCTCCAGCAATATTGGGTGATCTTATCTTTGAATAAATTTGAATATAACTTGAAATATGAATGTGAGCATTGTGGACTTTGTATTAAATATTCATTAAAACATGGAAATGAAAAGCAATTCAATATAATAAGAGAACCACTGTTTACAACTAAGTACTGTTTAAAGATGTATAATAAGAATCATGAGGGAAACATTGGTAATTAACAAAACCAAACAATATTCCCATGGAAGAGGCCAACTCATCCAGGTTGCAATGGCTGATAGAGCAGGATCTTGTAAGCCAGGGTGCTGAGCAGCTCTTTGCACTTGGGTTAGTCTTAGGAGGTGGGAGCAGTGCCAGGAACAAACAGAATTGCAGCTCTTTATGGATCTGCCAGTTGTATATCCCCTGTGCTTCCCCCTTCACAAGGACACATCCCTGTGCACTGGGGCAGTAATAGGATGCTTACCCTGATTGTGCATAGCAGGATATACACATCTTATGAGAATCTCTTAGAGTACTGCGATGATTTCAGTTTTGAGATTATTGGAAAAGTATCTGTTGATATAAACTGCTCATAGAAGCACCTAAGGACAACACTGCTGTTTTGGAATAAAAAGACTCCCTAAGAGGCTGAGCAAGTAGTCGGAAACCTGAGGTGCAGCCTAGCACACTTACACAGCAGCCATATCAGTCTACCGATTGATCGTTTCTGAGCATAATTTGATGCTTCCTAATCACACTCACCATGAGAAAATGTGTTTTGGGTACTTGTTATCCTTTCTCCACCCAAACCACCTAAAGCTCTCTGTTAGCTTAAAGAAAGTTCCTTTTCTGGTTTTAGGGGGAGAAGTTATAGAGTCACATAAAGCTGCTTGAAACCAATAGACAGAATTCCCCTAAAGCTATATTTCAACTAACCAGGAAAACTTGGAATTATTGCAGGACGCACCCAAGTAACCCACCTACATATAAACCTGTACAAGTGTTAGCCTTGGGGAAAGGCTTAGAAAGAGCAAAGCAATTATGGCCTTTATCAACATACATGTCAAAATCATCTTCAATGACATCTGCCTTCAAATCAAGAAAAGTATTCTTTCTAGAATATGTAAAATGTTTTATCTCATGTAGGTGTGGATGATCTATTACACAGGGTCCAGCACAAATAATGCCCCTTATTACAAAATCATAAGCATGTAATTCTGTAACATACCAATATCACACTCAAGCACACCATATGACATTTTAGGTGAAATATTCAAATTAAAACTATAAATTATTACCCTACCAACCACACTCAAGCAGGCATTACTTCTGCCAAAACCCTGTATACTGAACCTTTAAGGCTAAGTCAACGAAAATAGAGGTTTTCTAAATTCTGGATTCATGAAATTCACAAACCAAATAAATGAAAACTGGCTATGAATTTCTGAGAAAATTCTAAGTGCCCTTTTATGTTATTTATTCTGATCATTCTAATGTTTAATAAATACTCTTATAGCTGCACTTATATGACTATTTCTATGTGTGTGCATCCTGTATCTTTAAAGTGGACTCCAGATATAAGAGTCACAGGTTATATAGCATTCAATGTATAAGCCACAAATATCATCCCTATCACAACTGTAAAGAAGAGATGATACTAAGGCTTGGGTATCAGCCAGAAATCTGAATTTAAGTTATAGGCAAGTGAAAGATTGCTGTGAATACCAATAATCATTTGCAAATTGCTTTGTGGACTAGAATATGTAAGTTTTGTGTTTGTGTGGGACAGACCTAAGAGTTGAAAGAGTAATTTTAGAGATGCAGAGATAAGGAGGAAGGGATTGGACAAGGGATGAGAGGGTGAAACTGTATTTTCTGCCTTCGAACAGCTCTGATGGAAGGGCAAATCCTGCTATGGTAGAATGTATCAGTTGGTTGCTAGTAATTGCACATAATACAAAATCTTAACAGACTTAAGGAACAACAAAAATTATCTCAGATATTTCAGAAATATTCCTTTTCCATGATCATTTAACTCTGTGGTGCAACTATGTTACAAGCAAAAAGCTTCTCCCCATTTTCCTGCTTTTCCAGTCTCAGGTGTTGGCTCAGCTTCAGGCTCCTGCTCCTCTGAGGGGAGGATTGTAGTGGCACTTAAGGCCTCAGGGGCTACACAGCACTCGCAGCTGCAGACGGCTTTTTTCTTCTTAATGTCCTTTTTTTAATCAATGAAGAATGTTTCCTCACCTCCATTCAAATCTTCCTCTCATGTTTCATTGGGAAGAATATCATTACGTGTCTCTTCTTTAAACTCAGACTTATGTAGGCAATAGACCATTACAATAGACTAACTAAAGTCACTGGTGACTTTGAACAGGCCAATGAAGTGGTGGGGGAAGAAAATCATAAAATGTGAACACATTTTATGGTGAGACAGTAGCAAAATTGAAGGCAGATGAGTTTCCAACACTAAGCAAAAACCTGTATCCAGTATCTTTGAGATAGAAGGAAATAGAAAGTTTTAAATTTGAGGGGTATAGGTTTTAAGGGGAAAGTAGTTGACTGACCCTGCTAATTCATCTCTATTTTATTCAGAAAGGTAGGAAGGGAGGTCTTCAGGTATTAGAGTCAGGGGTAGAGTGAGGGTTTAGGGAGAATGAGAAAGCTTGAAACCCACCCAGAGCAGTACTAGAAGTTAACTTACTCTATGAAAGAGAGGTTTCAAGGGGCCATTACATGCCAAATCAAAATCTGCTTCTCTGTCCTCAGGCTGTATTTATCTCTGTCCATTCCCACCTTTTTCAAGCACTTTTGATTCCATGGCCACTGCTCTATCCCATGCCCTGTTACTTCTTTAATGTTTTGGTTTCCTCTTTCTCTCCTTTGTATTTACCTATAGACTCGTAAATGAAAATTGCCTATACCCCACTAGTCGAAATGTGTTCCAAGGCCAGCAGGGTTGCCATCACTTGGGACGTTTTGAGAAATGCAGAATCTTGGGCTCCACCCCAGACCGGCTACATCACAATCTGTGTTTTTAACACGATCCAGGCAGGACTCATATGCTTGTTAAGGTCTGAAAAGCACTTGCCTGTGGGACACATTTCCTCTCAGGTATCTAATGGACACGTGTAGCTTCCTGTGTTCCAAATACCTTGTTCCACTTTCCCTGCATGCATTGTGATCAAGCCTACCGTCTTTTTCTCTGCTCCTAGAAGTGTATCCTCACAAAATTTTCTTTGAAAAATATGGCCTTTTCTCCTTTCTTTCCTTTTGATTCAAACTGGCCCCATCCAGCACCCTGGCTCACCTGTCTATTCCTTGCACATCCACTCCCTTAGTCATTAAGTTCCTAGGGCAATCAGGTTCTGGTTAGCATTAGATAGTCTTTGGAATGAAGGGTTGAGTCTGCTGGCCATAGAAACAGAGTTTCCTCAAACTAAAGATAACACCTAGGCCTCAGTTTTGTTTCAGCTCCAGGCCCTGAAAATCTGAATGACTACACCAAGCAGACCCTTGTGACAGCAGGCACAGTGACACCATGACTGACATCTGGACCGTGTGTAATGATCAACTGCCCCCTGCCTTGCCTCCCGTCAATCAGTAGAGACCATGACCCCAACTCCCTTAGTCACCATGATTAATGATTTTCCTCCTACATAACCCATCCCTTAAAAGTCATCAGAGAGCCAGGACTTAGAGTAAAAGCTCACCTGTGACACCGGGCTTGGCACCACTTTCTTAAAAAAAAACCTCTACTTTCTTTGATGCAAACTCCTTGTTCTCTTTTGATTGGGTTTTGATGTATGGATGTGAGTGAACCCCTTCAGTTCAGTAACAGAACAAGTGAGTTTCAGACCCACCTCTTAGGTCCTTTACCTTAGTTAGTCCCTCTGCCTGTAATCTCATACCTGAACATGACTGGCTACTTCTTATCCTTCAGTCCTCAGCATAAATATTACCTCTTAAGTGAGTCTTTCTGGAAAACTCAGGCTAAAGTCAAAACTCAGTCTTCTGTGTCACTTCACATCAATTTGTTTATTTTTTAAAGATTTTATTTATTTATTTTTAGAGAGAGGGGAAAGGAGGCAGCCAGAGAGGGAGAGAAACATTGGATCAGTTGCCTCTCACACGCCCCTTACCAGGGACCCAGCCCACAACCCAGGCATGTGCCCTGACTGGGATCAAACCCACAACATCTCACTCTGCAGGCCGGCACTCAATCCACTGAGCCACACCAGCCAGGGCTAATTTTTATTTTTAATATATATTTATTATTCCTTGTTTGTTTGTTTTAGTTGTTTCTTTTCTTTCTCTCCCCACCAGAATATATGGTTCATGAGTGGGCTTTGTTATCGTCTTCATTTTTACTTCTTTACTGCCCAGAACATAATGCTTGGGTCTGGCACAATAGCTGTCTAATAAATGTTAGAAGAAAACTAGAAATAGAAGTGAGTTTAATTCAAGCATGTGGGATTTTTTTTTTTAAATACCACCTGGACTATTTTTAATATATTTTTAAAAATATCCTGAACCCTTACTAGTTTTTTAAGGTTTATTTATTTTATAACAGTTTTGGAGCAATACTTACAGAAAATTCTTAAAACTTATGCTGAGTAATTGAACTAAGAACAGAAACATATGAACCAAAAAAATTAAGAAATATTAGAGAAACTAAAATTATCAGAGAAACAAATAATCATTTAAGCAGGAATCTAAGCATCAGAACTGGTATGCAAGGGTAGCAATATTAACAATAACAAAACCTTTCTGAGATGGAAAACATTCATTGGCTACAATAGGAAGTGCTTATAGTTTCTTTCTATATCTTTGAACCTCTTTTACATACACTCAGACACACATACACGCATGCTCACACTCACAGGTGCACACATGTATAACACATTCCCTTTAAGGCCAGTAAAGCTCAGTTTCCTCAT